CCCCAAAACCCCAAAACCCCAAAACCCCAAAACCCCAAAACCCCTGACAAAAAGGCAATAGTTGAATGATGTGTTTATTGAAAAATTAGGCTCAAAGCTGAACAGCAATTATAACCTTTTTGTGTTTCCATATCCCTTTGGAACTTCGTCTTTCATGTTGTCATTAGCAATAGCCTTCTGTCTTTCCTCTTCTTCAAGAGTTTCCTCATCCTTGGCTGCTTGAATATCATTTCTTTCTTTTTCTTCGGCTTCTCTTCTCATCATATCCTGATATTCCATCTCTCCAAACTCTTCTAATGACATTGTCGGCTGGTTCCAGTGAGGTTGGAATACTTGTGCTTCCATTTGGCCTCTTAGGTTGACTCTGTCATTAACCTGATTACTGCCAACATCAACTGCGACTCTTTCCCCAGTCTCTTGATAAGTTCTCACTACTGAAGGATCTGCAAGAGGAGCTTGTGAAGGAAGCTCAGCCTCTTCTCCATCCCCAAACATGTAAGATTTCCCAGCTAGAGCTCCTTTTGGGATGTGGAACATCTGGATTGGCTTTTTCTCTTTTGGTGGCTCAGAAGGCTTCCTTGCTTCAGCAGGTAGGCTGTCTCTGTACACCAATAGCTGGAATTCAAGGTCGATACTTTTAAGTCCGCTGATAGATTTCATGATGCCTTGGTAGATCATATTTAGCCAGAATTCCTTAATATCTTTGTCATCATCACTTCCCTTTAATTTTTCGATCTGAGCCTCTATGAGCTTTTTCTTCTTGAACTCTTCTATCTTGGCAGCCCTGTCTTCTGTGGCAGTCATCTTTGGGACATTGCTAGCTTCTTCCGGATGCATACTGGCTTTCCAGATCTTCTTGGATGCCTCATCTACTAGATTGTAGTGGTCCATGAGCTTCAGAAATTCATTAAAGAAGTCTTTGGATACTTGAATCCTCTTCTTCCTATCCTCCATGAACCTGAACATGGTCTCCGCCTGATAATAAGGCAAGAGTAAATACTTAAGATTTCTCGGGTCAATATCCTCTATCTCTTCATTAGGTGAGAACAAGTTTTCCCTCTGAATATCCTTAACCAACTCTTCACAGATCTGTAATCACTCCTGGAAGTACTGATCCTCATTCTTCACGCATTCCTCGAACCCAAAGCACATATGTTGGATCTTATCAAACTTCTCGCTGACTGCTGACTCGCTTTCCATCTTAATACAATTCTATTAATTATGTACGAAGAGGGGTTTTGGGGTTTTGGGGTTTTGGGGTTTTGGGGTTTTGGGG